GTCTAATTCTAATGCATCTACCAGAGACTTAAAACATCTTAACTCATCTACCAACAACTTAAATCTGAGTTCATCTACCACTGGACTATCTATGTTAAACAGATTAGAACATGTAACTAGTACATCAACAACCATCTTTACACTAATCAATCTAAACTAAGACAAAAGTGATTGATAAATAGACCTCAAAAATGTGTGTCTCCATCTACCATTCCGTATGCAGATGTATGCATATCTGCTCTCTACCAAACATCTCATGTGCAATTATAAATTCTGTTTAGGGAAAAAAAAAAAAATAAAAATAATAATAATAATACAAGCATGATGAGTTTCCTATTATACAATCTACGAAGCCACAATGTGATGTCTCTTACCCGCTTTATTCATTTCAGTTTATTTTTGTTTAGAAATACATTTTTTTTTTTTTTTTTTTTTGAGACGCGTAGGTGGAGGTAGACGGTTGGGAGGCGAGGCATGAAAAGTGTAAGACAATCTGTTCATATATTGGTTGGTTATCCTATATCTCTTATGGTAAGAATAATTTTGCATGTGAATAATCATATTCTTAATTGATAAAGACCCTTTAGTCCTTGTGAGAGAGAGCATGAACAAAAAAATTAATTCTTAAATCAACCCCTATAGGACAGGAAGACTCAGAGCTCCTTGTGCATTGAAGACAAGTGAACGATCAGAGAAATTATGAATAAAAAAAACGTTTGCTGTCTATCATCCTGAGTAGTATGAAAATTGATAGACATTGTCCATTAGAGATTAATTTCTTTTTTAAAGCTATGTCTTTGAAAGGACACAGAACATTGAGGGTTAATCCTACATTAAAATACAAACTATAAATATCACACTAACTACACAAGAAACAAAAATGAAAATCTTGTAAAATATCTGATACCAAAATATAACAAAAGTATATTCTGAACTAAACATATATAAAAAAAACTGAACATAAATTTGATGTAAGTACCACAATTCATGATCTGACCTCCAGAGTCTGTATCAATATTGCAATGATTATTACAAACAACTTACTAATTGTTAACAATGACATCATATACTCATCCCTTTCTGCATTCTAAAAGCCTCTGCCTAAAATAACAAAGTTCAATATCTATGTTAATTAACCTAAAACCAACAGGCATGACATGTCCGTACATGCCATGACAATTGTGAGCTTATTCTACAAACATAGATAGCTACACTTGTACTAAGTCACCAGTGAGCCAATTATGAGTCCTACTTGTCTCACCTGTTTCTCCTTTTCCTTGATTTTCAAAAATATCTTGTAACCTTATATTGGTGTTACTAATGTCAATAATTATATCTATGATAAAAATAACACCATTGATACTGATGGCATTTTAGTAATTGAAAAAAAGAAAGGTTTTCCCACAAATTCAAGGAAAAGTGAAATCAGTTCATAGCATTAGTAAAAAATATGTTTTTTTTCCCACCAATTTAGGGAATCTTGAAATTAGGTAACGTCACAAGGTCTACTAACTGACTCCTTTGTGGCTAAGCACTTGCGGGGCCATCTAAGTTCAGAGACAGAAAATTCTAAAATGAGCACAGCATTTTCCCGGTGACATTTTGTTAAAAAGAAATGCTGAAATAAATTGTAGTATTCAAATGATTCTAACTACCCCTTCATCTACTATTCACTCTCTGGCTCATGGCAGATGTGACTTTACTTATTCCAAATTCTGTATAGATACAAGAATTTGCCATTTGTATTTCATCAAAGGTATGTATCAGCCAATGATCTTATATTCAAATGATACAACATGTGTGCTTATAAATACACACACACACACACACACACACACACACACACACACACACACACACACACACACACACACACACACACACACACACGCGCGCGCGCGCGTGCACATATACACCTATCATCATATCATTTTCATTTGTAAATTATTACAACTCATAAATTTAATAATAATTTTTGAACAACTTGAGTAGATCTCTCAACATTTGAATTCCTTTGAAGCAAACGAGGTCCAAGATGAAAGAATATGGAAAAGGAAAAATAAATATTCAACCATCTCGTAATTACTTATTCATTAATTGAAGTCAGTCTATGGATCTACAGACAATAAACTTTTCAAATAAGTCTACGAGGGCTTTTGTATAAATCTATTTGTACAATAAATTATGTCTAGATTAAACATAATTGTAAAGCACCCAGGCCTTGATTTATCAAGAAGTCTTCCTTTCCTGGGAAAGAAAGAAGGAAAGACACCACTGATACAAATATGAGAAATGAAGTAACTGCCAAATGCAGATATAGTAACATGTGTACAAAGATGACATTAAACACGGCCACAAGAGGTTTGGAACAATAAATCATTAAGTTTGAGTCAGACTAAACTCATAAGATAGTTAAAGCAAAATTGTTCTAGTTTTGATTATACCTTCCGATGAGTCTTGTCTAGCTTGAAAACACTCAATTTAATATACTCTCTTATTA